ATATTGAGGTGTCTTATTTTAGCCGAAATCACAAAAAAATTTTTAAATCAAGGTCGTTGTTATGGTTTGTTCGTTATGTAGAGGTAAAATATACATTGTGTCTTATGGAGAGTTCTAGGGGATTAAAAAAAATTCGTTATATCAAAGAATTTGTTATATCGAGTTTCGTTATATCAAGGTTAGACTGTACTTAATTTAGTTTTCGGAGGAAAGAACACTTGGCTTAGGAATACATTAAAGAAGAAGGAATGGATACAAAACTGGATAGATTGGATCAACTGGATGGATACAAGACTGCCTTTGTATTACTTCCTTCTGAGGAAGTCTGTTGTAGGGTCTAAATATGAAATTAATTGTGTTATAAAATTTCTTCTGCTGTTAACTGCGTGGAACGCTTTTCTTGGATAGGTTAGTGGTGTATTCATTCCTTCTTCCTTAATTTATATACATCTTACTTTATTTTTCCATCATTCCAATAAGTGTTGCCAAATAAATCTTGCTAAATATTAGGTAAACTACAGGTGTGCGATGCATAAAGATTCATCCAAATTGTGATCCATTCTGTCAGATCAGTTCTGATTTTGTTGTGAAGTTGTAAAAAGAACACAAATATTCCAAGGATTCCGATTCCTGATGTAAACATACAGGGTGACCAACTTACCTGTGCCACCATTGGTGTCTCCGAAACTATTACAGTTACAGTAGAGAAAACATTAAATGGAGAACTTCAATCATTTTTTAAGACATTAAAAAACATGAATTATTCCACTTTTTCAAAAATTACCACCATTGGAAGCTAACTTTGAAATTCTTATGAAACACCCTATATTTTATGATGGTTTTAGAATGTAAACACGATTTAAAAACTTTTTTCTTGAAAGTTTCTCTCTAAAGTGTGTATGATATTGCAGTGTGTTAAACTTAAAAAGAAAAAAAAAGTACTTGTGGTGTACATTCTGCATCCTGCAGCTCATTACAAGTAAGTTTGGATAGGAAATGCCAAGAATAAATAAATAAGTCTTAAAATTGCATCTAGATTCCAAAAAGATCACAAAATACATTAACAATTTTAATTCCCTTGTTTTATAAATGGCTGCCATCTTCCTATATGGTGACTAACTTTAAAATTGTAAAACTCTGTATTTCATGGTATAATCTACAAAAACAAGATAAGTTTTGGTCCATTATTTATACAAACTTTTAAAATACCACCAACATATAAAGTAAAATAGGTAAACTAATATTATGCTCGATTTTAGCGTTGGATTTGTGTTGTAACCTGTTTTATCAAGTAGCCTTAATTTTAGTATTATTAGATCTAATTCACTCAAATTTTCACTACTCAAGGGTTTTGATTGTAAAAACAATGCAACATGAGTGAATCTATTATTTTCTTAGACAGTCAAAGCCCAATTTGTAATGGACAAAAATTGTATAATAATAATGCAAAGATCTTATTTTACTTCCATGAATAGGTGTTAAAATCTTTACGTTGTGATTTGGCGCTGGAATACTTTGTGGAACCTATTATGTGATTAAACCTATTATTTGTTTTCTTCTGATTCAATACCTTGAATCTATTAATGAACAAATATTTGTAATTATATATGTATACAAGGTTTTTGTTAGATATTAAAACTCATATTTCATATTTTAAATCATACCTTTACAGGAATTTCAGTGAATTTATTACTGTTTTCTACCTCATTAAAAAGTGATTAATTCACCCTCCCTGTACTGTATGTGTTACACATCATCCTATCAAATGTTCATATTATCTACCAGTATGTTTTGTTTGATTATAATCAACAGTGTATCATTTCACACTTAAGACTTTCATTAAAACCACTTGTGATATTCATTATATGTAAAAGTTAATTTAGTTTTTATGTGAATCTTTCAAATGTAAACAACATGTTTTTTACATGTTTCATATCGGATGGATTTATTTACATTATCCTTTACTTTCCGAGGTAAAATTGTACAAAGTAATTTTTACGGTTGTATATATTTGGATTTAACAACCTCTGTACAGTAATGGGACATGTCATCTTTCTACGATAATTATTTTATATAACATTGTACTTGTGTATTGTATGTAGTTTGTAATGTCAGATTTTAATCCACCCTGTCAGTTGATTGTTTGTATGGCCGATGTTGAAAATAAAGTATACTTAGGCTGGGCTGATGATTGGGATCAAGTCCTTGACATTACAACAGGGTAACACATCAAGAAAGCCCAAAAACATCTTAAAACTTGTATTATTCCTGCTCTGTGAATATTAACAGGCCTCATTGACATGTTTCACATGGGAAGAATACAGGAGGCTCAATGTGTATTTACTTGAATAGAAATGCAAACTGCTTTTGACATTAAAATGTTAAAATCATTAGCTTACACGTTAGCTATTAAAATTAAATCAATGTTTACAATTTTTTTAAGTATGATGATCAATACCACATCTCAAATTGGTATTAAAAATTTAAATTCTTTATTCACGAATAAACATCTTAAAAAGTACAACGTACAAGGATAGGAGTGTCGTCATTATCAAAATTTAAAAAGACCTTTTACTGTCTTTAATTTTAAAAAACCTATATTAATAATTTGAAAGATTATTGACTAATATTAGATCAATGTATTTGTGAAGCAATATTCAAGTCTGTTTCAGTGTTTCAGTTCTTATAAAATGTGGATTCCAAGGCAAGGAGTCTTGCAGATTAATAATAATAAATAACAATGTTAAATTATTTCCCAAACAATGCATCTTCCCATGTTGAAATACACATTGGCCAAGGCTGTCCGTATGTTTTGTTTGATCATATGATATTGAATCTCCTCACATATTAAAGTTGCAAAAGTTTTATGTTAAATTTATTTATACTGTTTCCTATCCTCATCTTCTTCTGTGTTTATTTTCAAATTCTACCAAAAGTTCTATTTAAGATTTTTTTAGAATTTTGAGCTATTTCTACTTTAATACAATCCCACCTCTTAAATTTAAAAATGATGTCAACAAATCACTTTCTCCTCAGAAACCATGGGCAGCTCTAGTAAGGACCTTTATGCAAAAGTTAAGTAGTGTGAACATCCTAAATGGTCTGTCGGTTGTAGTGATTTTGTAGCTAAATGGGTTTTATTGTAACTGTAGATAAAAGTAAATATAAAATTTTAAAGATAATAAATATATTGTTATATGAGGTTAATGCATTAACTAAGCTGTGAAGAATGTACATAGTCGTTTGTCTCGATTTATTGTACATAACTATGGATTGTGTTTCTTAAGGCATAATAATTCACAGTTCAACTTTGATATTTGTTTTTTGATCTGTTTTGTTACTTTATAATGCTGTTAGTGTCTTATTTGCCTTAACTTCTGTATTTTTCATTTGTCCTTAACTTAACGAATCTGCAATCTATACAGCTTTATAATCTATTACAGTTATAATACTGTGATATCTGTTATTGATTTATTTGATATTTTATGTGAATGTTGAAGGATGGAGCTTATTTTTATCAAACTTGAATCTTTAGTTTTATCACATTATCGTTGTATGGATGTTTTTTTTTTATTTCTGTAACCTAGATGCCTGTGATTAGCTACCCTTTTCATAATATTTTTTTTTATTTAGGAGTGTATACCTCATATTTTTTGACATTTTTAAAAATATATGTTGTTTTACAGATATCTGTTTTTCAAACAAAGTACACATTTTTGGCGCTCAAATGCAAAATGCAAAGTTTGAAACTAAGTTTCTATTGTATTTATCATTGATCTGTATCCTAAAGTTGTATTATTCTCTCATCAATAATATAGTTTTAATATTTTTTAATCAGTTTGTATTTCATTGCATTAATAAAATAGTTATGGTGAATATGCCTAACAGAGTGTTTTTTTTAGCCTATTAATTTTCTGTATAACTGTTATAGAAGACAAAAATCTAAAATAAGCAAACAATACCATGAAGTTATCGATAGTGCTTGTCTCCCGATAGCACTCGAGAACTGTTGATGTTGACAAATTTTGTATTGTGTTATTTTTAGAATGATTTTGGAGTGACTTATTTTGGCTATGTTTACACTTAACAGTAGTAAAACATGTCTCACACTGCTTGAAACACTAACAAAACATCATCATTTGCTATATAAAAAAAAATTATAAAACAAATAAAGCAGTATTTTCATGTAAAGAATTAATAACTTAAACACCTTCACAAAGGAAACATAACATCAACACGCTCCTGTATTGGGAGCATTGACTTTCTGCAGGCGTTTTTTTTTTATCTCGTCTCGAAAGAATTTTGACCAAAATAGAATCTTAGAATCTTGTTTTGTAGAGCGAGATTTAAAATTTCCTGAAATTTCGAAACCCGTCCATCCCTAAATTACCTGCAAAGAGTCCACTGTTAATTGTTTATGTTATGTGTGCTTTTCCCATCAACATATGTGAAAAAAGTGAACTCATTAGTTAACACACCAGCCATGCCAGACATGGGATTTGAACCCTCAAGCTCCAGTGCCGTCTCCTGGCTAAACCACTCGGCTACTGATCAGTCCTAGCAGTTTACCCCACAACACTTGTCAACCAAAAGCCCAAAATTGCCTCCCAAACCGCAGCACAAGTAGTCAGTTAAAACTTACAACTGTTTATGCTTAGTTATACATGCGGTGATAGTTAGTTGTATCTATATGGAAGATTTGTTATTCTAAGTGCTGCGTTTAAGATGCAGACCTTTGGATAAAGGTTAAAGATAAAAGTTGATCCCAATGTGGTTAAAGAAAAAATGTGTTCTTATCAAACATAGTAATCCACCTCAATAATCCGTTGTGGAACTTCCTAATTTTTTTACTTGGAATGTTAAATGAGAAATAAAGTCATGAATGTATTTGGTTGTTACAAGGAGTGTTATTTAATTATTTTACTAACTAGTAATATGTAAACCAAAACAAGCTTTAAAGTAATATATTTTTATTACAGTGACAAACAAAATGATTTAGTTCAGTCAATGTCTAATTTTCTAAAAGACCTGCGCATACTTTGTGACCTCTTCAATTTCCTTGTGCTTTGTCTCAGTGACTCATTGCAACGGAAGAATCGTTCATCTGAGAAGAAGAAATCTTGCTGGTTAATAAAGTTGTCAATGAACTGAGCTGTAAAACAAAGGATAATTTTAAGTAGGGGTTGTCTGTGACAATTCACAGTTAAGGTCTTCAGCCAGCTCCCGTCACAGCTAAAAGTGAGACCAATGCTGTGTTATTTACTTCATCCACTACTATATATTAACCATTAGTCTCGTCACAGTAGAAGAAAACAACATGATAAAAAATCAACACTCCCAGTGATCGATGTGTATAGTAGTCAAAGGCATCAACCGCTATTGAAATCCATCATCAGTAGAAAATGTGCATAATGGGTGGAGGGAGTTTGGTGTTTGGCCATAAACATTTGTACGGAATAGACAGGCTGCCGTTGTTTAGATAAATAAAATAAATAAATAAATATATCTTTATTGTCACATAACGTTTTCCACATTACATAGCAACAGCTACAAAAACGGGTGACATTGTCAACGTAAATCAGAAGTACCTAAAATACTAAAAATACTAAAAATACTTGATTCGTAGAAATAATTTTTTGCGTTATTTTTATTTCATAAAACTTAGTATTCTAATTTAAAAATTACCTTTAAGAAATACAGTAAACCTTGGTAGTCTTAAACTTACTGATCAGCAAGCAAAGTTAGTTTCTTCAACTTTTATTGGAAACTGATGAACCCCGGCTGCTGGCCTTATTGTGCAAATGTTTTAACTCTATCACAGAATGTGATTTATACTTAGTGAGAGCCTCATCGATTTCTACTACAAAACAAAAATAATTGTAGCATAGGGGTGGGAACTAGCTGGAATTTTAGTGAATGAAATAGAAGAATTGAACATGCTCGCTTGGTTGCGACAGGAGCTCGATGAAGATCTTAATTTACAGACAGCCCTAGGAAATACATATCCTGAACAGTCAACATTTCACCAAAATATTTCAAATAACGGTTAAAAAATTCACCAGTCATCCTTAGAAATCAAGGTGTGCAAATATATCTAATTTTCATAATACAGCGAAAAAGGTTAGGCTTACTCTCAATACATGCAATGTCATGCAGTACTTATTAGCGAATTTCCCTATAGGGAAGTAGCTACTACCATAGGTGGCACAGTAAGACCTAAACCCGGGGCCGATTTACTTTTTCATTTTGATGTCTCTGGATGCCAATAACTTTTCTATCCCTTAAGGGGGACAGCCCAAGAGGAGCCAGACAAAATTCTTAAATAGCAGCATAGGTTGAGTTTCATATCTAGTTAAAGGACTTAGTAGAGCATATTGCCTCAAACAGACAACTAGACGAAAATGAAAGCTGTTCAAAGATTGTTGATTGTTGTTCAAAGTATGTTGATTAAATTTGCAATGCTATTATACACTACCTTCACAGGGGGGACCCGCTAGAAGTAAGAAGAAAATCACAAACGTAAGCAAGGGTTGATATACACATCACATTAAAGGCCTTTATTATTATTAGTAGAATACAATGCCACAAAATGGAGCTTAAAAGAACAACTGAGTAAAAAATGGCAGTTGCTCAAAGATTCAAAATGACAGATTTAAGAAATATCTAAACAGCGGTCTTTTTTAATAATTTCGCCACAACTAGGCCTTATAACTGCGAAAAAACCTTCTAGTGAGAGTGAGAAACTGGATAAAACTAGGGTGTACAAGTTAAAATGTGGTGATTGCAAACGATATTATATCGGGCCAAACAGGTCGGTCTTTTGCAACGAGATTAAAAGAACACAAACAAAACCCTCGTTTCACCCAGCAAAAATCTACATTCGCCAAACATATAATTTAGAATGACCATAGAATGGGAAAATTGGATGAGAATGTTTCCATTCTCAGCTATTGTAAGAAAGGATTTTTATTAGACACGTTAGAAGAGTTCCATATCTACAAATAGTTAAAAGAAGATGCCAACAACCCACTGAACGACTAAATCCACCACAGCTCCAATTTAATTTTTAACAAAATAATTGAAACCAACCCAAGCAACACTGACGCATCCTATTAGACATGGATCAAAACAATACCGAGGACAAAGGTCAGATAGACCACTTGAACGTTCCAGTTAGTTGTGGCTTGGATGTCACCCGTCGCGGCCGGTGAACATACAAAAATGTCGTCCTTCTGTAAATACCGGAAACCTACAGACGACTTATTTTGAACTGGTGACTGAGGGTATTTAAAACCATTATATTAGGTCTTTTTTACTCAGTTGTCCATTTGAGTTAGATACCAAACTCTACTATAATAATATAATAGTCTGCCCTCGGTGTCATTGTCGGTCGCTTCACCGCATTTATAGTTGCAAACTAATTCATAGTTCCTAATTCAGTTTTATTAGACGACTGTTCAAACATTCTTATTTTTCACTCTTCAGTTTTATTTATCCTTTCAGTATTATACCACAATCACATAGTGTAAGTTCTATTAGGTTTCAACAAGGGTAATAGATAACAAATTACGATACAAAAGATATACCATTGAGTACAACACTTTTTTGTTGTTAGTAGAGTCAGTGTATTTATAAGGTTGCCATAACATATTGGAAGAAATCCAAACAGTACCAAGAGTGTCACCTAAGGATCCCTGAGAATAATTTTTATTCTACAGGGCTCACTCAATTTTTATTTAACATCAAGCTTCCACTGACTACCATTGCTCTATTGATTGTCTTTTATTCTCTTTGTTCTTCCAACCTAGGGGCGAACCATCAGTTTTGTAAAAAAAATGTAGTAAGAAGAGGGGTAAAAGAGAGATATTTAATTTATAAGGGAAACACTTTTTTCTTTACAATCTGTATCTTATCTGTCCTCGGTTATTTTTCTGCCTTAACTGTTGGTTCAGTTTGGTATTTTTATAAATTGTAGCTAAACTACGAAGTAAAGTGAAAGGTAACAAAGATTTTAAATAGTTTCAGACATACCTTTCAACTGTCTACAGCTGGGCAAGTCTCCCCCGTAGTCTGAAGGCAAGCAGTCTTGTGGAATGTACTTGTACACATTGTTGAGACAACTTTCCTGATAGTAGTGGATCTAAAACAAACAGGTTAATATTAATATCTCTACTTTAAGCCCTAAAACTGAAAAGTGTATTTTAATAAGTAGTCTCATTGAGTTATTATAAAGGAATCTACCCTTACTTGAAAAGTTATATTTCTGTCTGTATCTGTGAAATTGACTGATTCTTTATGTCACATTCAGGGACTAAAAATCTTCAGCAAGAAAAATACATATAAAAGATACATTTAATGTCTAATCCCCCTTCCGCAGCAAACCTGTAGACTCAGTGAAAACGTTTGCCTGATTGGGTTTTTACTAAAATATTTCCTTAAATGCATCAGACTTATTCCCTATTTATATAGCATTAGGCTTAATGAGTACCTAAGTTGGTCGGCAATAAAGTGATTTCGGTAAAATGTTAATTACTTAAAATAAATAAATTTGCAACCATAAGGATTAATTTCAAATCAAAGTATATTTTATTCATCATTACTTGTAGTCTTCCTGCCACATTATGAAACATAAAATATTACTTACGAGTTCATTCAGCTCTTTATTCATAAACGGTTTTACAAATGTCATGACTTTTTCAACAAAGTAGTTCATGTTGACCATGTGGATTGACTTTAATCTTATCGGAGCCCCTTCCTGAAAAAGAAAAAAAGATTTGAAAAATCAAGAATACTTTTGGCTCATAAATAATTGGTTAAATGTCTTATGTGAACATATGTTTGGGCCATCTTGCTCGGTTCAGTGGCGTAAATAACACACCCGCAGTGCGGGGGAGTGCTGTGGTCTGTTGTCACTGCTCACCAAAATCTCAAAAAAGGTTAAATATTTTCCCTAACCGCGGGAGACGAAGATGATGTCTTCAAGACCGAAGGTTATTTTGCTGCAATCACGGAAAAAGAGAATGTCGTTTCCATGACTGTGTTTGGAGGCAAAGAGGATGTGTACAAGACCAAAGAAGATATTGATGATTTTGCCGCAATCGCAGACAAAGATGACGCTGTTTCCGTGACAGCAGGAGAAGAATATGATGTCTTCAAGACCGATGAAGATATTCATGATTTTGCCACAAAACCTTTGAGACTTTGGCGATTTCTTCAAGACCCCGGATGATGTACAAGATGTTGCCACGATCACGAAAAACTATGACGAGTTTCAATGACCACGGGAGACGATGATCATGTCTATATGAACGTGGGAGATATTCAAGATTTGGCCGCGATCACAGAAAATGATGACGGTGTTTTCATGACCGAGGGAGACAATACAAAACCGTCCACGAGAGTTTTTGGATTTTGCCGTGATCACGGCTTTTACTGAGAGAAACAAATAAAACAAAAGTGGTAATGTTTTGGTGGAGAAAGGGTGGGCGCCACATGTAAAATGCGGGGAGGCGCTCAATGTACTTACGCCACTGATTGGGTTAAAGCCGTTTTTGTCATAAAGATGTATACATATCATATCAAGACACTATTACAGCTCTGTATTGACCTAATGGGTTGTCTTAAAGGAGTAATATTTATGTCATAGGTGTCAGGCTTACCACCTAATAATTTTGATGGGCTGTAAATGAAACTCACAACTAACAGAATATAGATTAAAGCGAGATATCTTTTAAAATGTGCCTGGTACAACCTAAAAATATACTTTTGTTTTGGTGTAAACATTTAATTTTTAAGTGCATGCCATGAAGTATTAAATTCTATTTTGACACAGCTTGTACATTAAGTTTTTTTTAAATTTTTGGAATTTTTTTATTTATTTTTTTGACTAAAAAATCAAATAATATATATTAGCTTTACCTTTGTTGTTGCCTGATTTCTTGTAGGTAAGAAACCTTATGCATTTCTCCACCTTGTGTGGCATCTTCAGGGAGCTTCTTAATCCCTTATCACTAACACTACAGTCTATACTGTATTTACAAAACATTTACACACTCCGGTCACTAGTATCGCTAGTGATAAGTGATTAATAAGACCCCTGAATATGCCACATAAGTTGGAGAAACACATATAGGGTGAAATAAACAAGAACTCAAGCAAAAACAAATGTAAATATAATATAATTCAAGTTCTTCAAACTGGGGGGAGAAATATACAGGTGTCGGGTCATAAGTGTTAAATAAAATATTGCATCAAACTACATGGTAATGGTGACAGAATGATGCACATTTGAGGTTTCCAACTTCAACCGTTTGAGAATAACAAATAAATTACGATTTTTCAAAAATTATTATAGTTTTTATGAAAAAGGTTATATTACTCTGTTAAAAATGCACTTATTATGAATTTAATTTCAATGTCATTTTCAGAATCCTCACAAAATTTTAAATAGGAATAAGACATAATCATTAGGGTATGGAAAAGATTAAATTTAAATTTCTTCGTTAAAGAGATTATTTTTAATATCGACGGAAATTTAAATAACATTCAGAGCTTTATTTCTGAGTTGCTGAGTTTCGATGAGGTATCAAATATTACTAAAAAACTTGAAACACTTATGACCGGACACCCTGTATATATATCTACTAAATAATCAAACAATTGTACTCTAGAGACAGTGAAGTGCCATTACAGTAGGTATAAAGTAATTTGGATAAACCAGTACATAAATGCTTTTGTTATTTTGTGTTCACACAAACTAACTCAAAGACGTGCTTGTTACAGCTGCAAAACATTTAGACGATACATACTTTTTCTAATAACTCAAGAAGACTTGAGAGCTGATTTGATCATCGTAAAAAAATAATAAGAAGACGAATTATAGCCTACTATTAATTTTATTTTAATATAATCTATAAATTTGTTGGGCAGATTTTGCCCAATCCTTATTGAGCAAACAATATGGTACAGGGGGCTGATATCAATAACCTAAGTCTGGATTATGATTAAATATTTGTCATTTGCATTCTTCAACAGATTTTAAAACTAATTCACTCTACCTGGACATATTGAAACATTTTTTTGATGCTGGAGATATTTGCCTTGGCCAAATGTCCAAATCGTATGTTTGTGTAGTCCAAGAGAAATATTACTCCAGGCAGGGTTCCTTCAGTTCTCAAAAAAGCGTCCATGGTCATAAAAAATAGCTTGCAGGTGTCATCAAAATTGTATTTACTAGCATCGCTACTCTCTACCTTCTGGTACAGGATCAAGTAGCCATCTGTAGTTCTCTTTGGAAGAACAAAACAAGTCCTGGATAGCAAGTAAAAATCTAAATCATGATCATATAAGAGTACAAAGAGGTTTACATTCAAGTCAGTTTAAATAGCACACTCTCATTTTAACATCAAGTTTCGGATTTAACAAGTTTCCATAAACTGAAATCATCTTGATCATCTTGAAATCGTTATATTAAATATGTCCTCTACAAAACCCAAATAACCATTTTCATTGATGATACAGACATTTTGGATTTTGTAAGTAATTAAGTACAATATTAGACCAATCTAAATACAAATTTAGTAAAAGCGGTTGTGTTAAAATTAATTTAGAGTTCAGTAAAAGAATATCAGTTTCTGATGGTATCCAGGGCAATATGGATAAGGAAGCAATATAGTATGGTAATGTTTGCGATTTTATTCCTTTTGACAAAATATTGGCGTCTTTCTAGTGAAAAGTGCCATAGTTAGCATACTGAACATTGGTATGATTTTCTAATATATGATTGATGACATGGACCAGACACCCTTCTATATTATGTGTTTATTCTTGGTAAAAAACCTCAGGGGTAAATAGTAACAAAACTCATTTAGTAAATGTATGCAGTGGACATTTTCTGTTTGATTTATTAGGTTTGGGCTTCAGATGGTTCAAACAGCCACTTACATGACAAACACATTCACATTTATATACACACCACTTTGTCTGACACCCAAACAAACAAGTCACAACATGTTTGTCTAGTGCTGTTCGATATGTACAGCACTTACTTTCCGTGTCCAAAAATCAGACTTTGCTTTTCCAAAAATTAGCTACCAATATGGCTTTGTCATTTGCTTGTAAAAGATCATCTAATGTGCAAGACCAACTATTCTATCAACCTTCTATTCCGGTTGTAGAAGGATTTGCTGCTGAGATGTCAGCGTTGCCCGGGGTGCGCCCAATTGTGATGTCGTTTTTAGCGTGTAATGGTCACAATCTTCGTTGAGGCTCCTTCTGTGCACCCCTATGTTAACCCTATGTACAGCATCCATGTTGTTTGATATAACACTATAGTAATGCACAAATGCATTGTGATTTTGAAACTATCCATTCATTTTTGCAGTAACTTATGATGATTCAGATTTCGTTTGGTCCAGATAAGGAGTCTACCATACAACAAATAACAAAAACTCACACATTGTTTTCTGCTGCTTGAAGTGCCTTGGAAGACAAATCTCTGTTGCTAAAGAACTCAGGTGTGTTACTGCGAAGAGTGTAGTAAGTCTCTATGCAGGATTTAGTCTTGTCCAAGTCATACCAGCAGCTGAAGTGAAATAGAACCAAACGCTCCTCTGCAATACGTAAAATCCAGGAAGAAATATCACAATGTGCTGTGATTTATTATTTATCTATTTGGGACTAAAATTATTAAATTGATTTGTTTTCCTTAATTTGTTACTTTTAAGTATTGAGGTAATGTTTCTAAGTTCTCTATTAGCAAAATGCAAACACAAAGACTGTCATAAACTTATCATCCTTGAGGTATACTCTTTCTGAAAGATCCCCACAAAACACAGAAAACTGATTCCTCAAAGGAAAACATAAAGGCAAAAAGTTGTGTCATAATAGTTTAATTAAAAACTTTTGGAAAAAACTAATATTGTGTTTTGATCACAGGGTTGGAATGGGGTTGATACTGACTTAGTTTATTGGCACTCAACAGGTGGTGGCAAGAGGCTACCACGAGTCACCTTTGTTAGTCTGAATTACATACCCGGGATGGGTGGAAGATGGGCTTGACCTTTAGCCCATTCTTTCAGTAGTTTGAGATCGTTTACAGGAAAATCTGGGTTTTTCTTCAGTTCCTCTTCAATGGTGATGGCATATGTCATTTCACACCTAGCAGTAAATAACTCAAAATATATACCTAACAAAATGTTTATGAAACAAACATATCATCAAACCTTCTCAAAACTATAGTAAATGTTAATGGAAATAATAATACACAAATATCTATATAAAATAAAAAGTATCTTGATTGGTTGTATAGGCTACTTTAATTTTGCGTAAACGGTTACGTAGTAAAAAATTGAGGTTGAATAAGATATGTAAACTTGTAAAAAATACATAAACAAATGTTAATATCAATTGGTTTGACATTATCTTATTAAAAAGCAAACCTGCAGGCTAAGTAGTTATTTAGCTTTTATAGTACAAAATGGATTTTCTACAAAGATCCATACCCAGTATATCTCAAATAAAATCAATACACTAATTAATTCCTGATACAATGAACACATTCATTTAAATTCTACTACCTGTGCCGGGACCGTCCATTTCCTGTGCGTGTGACAGGCCATCAATGTCAATTAAATGTTTACTTTCCGTAATTAAATGTTCATATTCGTGTATTTATTGTGTGCGTGTGACATCAATGACTTTGTTTTTGTAACCCTGACGATGCCGTATTTACGGCGAAACATGTAGGTTGTTAACCTCAATCAACAATTGGATTACTTGACGAGGTATTGTACCATAATATTATAGACACTCATTTATTCCAAATCTGAACTATTGATTTAAGAGAGGCATAAATTTTCAGTAATAAAATGAATAAATGTTTCTATTCAATATTTTACTTAATCGATGGGAATCTATTTAAGTACGGTTCATATTAGTGGTATTATAATAATGAATAGTATTTTAAAATTTAACATTGAATTTTTTAACAAATTTACTATTAAATGGTAAATATAAATTTTAATAATGGTAGGAATTTAAGGATTCTAAAAAAGTGGACTACTTTGGTAGATGATATGTATAAATATAGATATTTATAAACAATATGAATACTAACAAACATAATATAGCACAAGACAATGGTTTGATTCTGTTACCTTACCTTTCAGCCATGGTGATAGAGACTGATAAAATCTGTGCTAGATTGGCCAGGGAGAGGGATTGGAAATCCTGTTAGTGCCCTTATAAAGCATATGGTTTCATCAACCCTCTTGGCCCAAAGCAGGAAGCCATGCAAGTTTGTGATGCTGTATACCTTTCTTTTCTTGCATCATTTTACTCGCACAGGTTTGATCTGATTTCTGTTTTACTATTTCCATATTCTGAAATATGGAATTGGCTGTATGTTTCGCATTCAGACAAGAATTTTTAAAGCTAGGACAAAAATCGTAAGAATAATGACTTTTTATTGTAGAGGGGATTAATGAATCAGTTTTAAGAAATTAAAAACACTTTTGTTCCCGATTTAACCATTTAAAATCACTGATTCCTGTAATATTTTGAAAATGTGTGCAGCAAGAATTATTTAGCATAACCACAACTCTAGGTTTAAATAATAATACCTAATATACCAGTTTGTCATTGGTGGAAGGGGAGACGCACATCAATATTTAATAAAATATGGATGATTGACAACTTTTATAGATTGCATTTCAACAATACTAAATAAAATAACAGCAAAAATATTGAAAGTGTTATAGACGTTATATAAAAAAATATATATTTTTTATTCACAGTTGTGGTGATAATGTTTGAGAAATAGGTTTGATGTTTAATGTACGAATATTTAAATTGTTTGTAATCATGAAAATGGTTATAAGCCAAATTTGTCACTGTTTAAGAAGTAGGAAATATATTTTTGTACAGTTAAAAGTTCACACTGACTCAAGATCAAGATAAAGATGGAAAAGACAATTAGTATAAGAAACGCTGCGGACAAGCCTTTTATAAGGCTTATGCAGTTTTTTATTGTAAATTCATTGTATATGTGCTGTACCAAGTAAAAATAAATAAATAAAGTAGTCTTTGAATAAGAAATTTTAATTAAAAAAACTTGATAATTACAATAAGATAAGCAAATTTTTAATATGTAACATGATTTTCAAGTTGAATGTAACAACTGTGGATGTTTAAAAAAAATAGTTCACAATGGGTTGAACAAATCCATTTTATCATGTAGATTTCCGATTGTGTTGTAAATATCGGATTTGTAGTTTTAAACAGAGATGTTACTGCTATCATTATATGAATATATGATTTTTCTGACGGGTGTATTTACTCTAGTAGGTTTATGAAGAGAAGCAACATTTAGTTTAACCTGACTAGTAGCCAATAAAGGCTTCTGGAAAATGTAATTTTACAGTTTAGGTCACAACTTATAAAGTAGAAGTATTTTAATAATCAGTGTATATACCATTCAAGTACTTGTGTTGTTATAATATCAACTGCATTTCAATATTCAACTAAAAATTTAAAATATCCAAAACAATACCATACCACACACAATACCATCTTGTACTCCATTTAGACCATATCTTCACCTCATCATATCTTCTGTTATTTATATATTTAGATTTTGTTTTTGATAAATAATGTTATGTTTGGATGCAACTACAGTAGACGCACAGGCTCGCTGCCCATGTCGGCTTATTCTTTATAAACATGAACGCTTTGTAAACATAGATGTAATTAAAAGGTGTAAATCAAAGGTTAATTTTATGTTATTCTTTTAAATTCACTTATGTTTTTCTCCTTTAAATAGGATTTGTGTACAAATTTCTGTAAATAATTTGTTGGAATAAAGATATAATTCATTCATTCATTCATTCATTCATTCATTCATTCATCCATTCATTCATTCATTCATTTATTCATTCAATTTAAAGGCTATCTTACTTTTAAAAGTGCAAACACTGGGAAATAATTAACACAATCATATCAGAACAAAGACGTATAACTTTATTCAATTCTATATACTCTCTGTACATTTATATGCAAGCTCGAGCACCAATGTACTAAGCAGATAAATAATTTAACACAGTTATCACGAAAACAAATTATTGCACTAGGAAAGGTCAAACGGACAACAACAAACAAAACAATGGCAACAAGAACAAGCTACAAAAATACTGCTAAAATAACTATTATAGGTGGTTTTAAAGGGTTAAAACAACAAAAAGACAGTGCTCAAGCGTAAAGAATATCACAATGTTTAAAATATATCAGGACACATAGACCAATCCTGCTTCTCTTTTGCTTCCCAGTAGCCTCCTTTGTAGATGTGGGCAAGATTGCCTGTAGCAGGCTCCATCTCCTTCTTGAACCACAGTGGCTCATAGGGAGAATAGGGGGATCCTGTCAACAGCACACAATCAGTCAACCGTCCATCATCAGTCTATAACAGCACACAATCAGTCTACCCACAATCCGTCATCAGTCAACAGCACACTATCAGTCAACGGGCCATTATAAGTCAACAACAGCACACAATCAGTCTACAGTCCATCATCGGTCAACCGCACACAATCAGTCTACCTACAGTCTGTCATCAGTCAACAGCACACTAACAGTCAACCGTCCATTATAAGTCAACAACAGCACACAATCAGTCTACAGTCCATCATCGGTCAACCGCACACAATCAGTCTACCTACAGTCCGTCATCAGTCAACAGCACACTATCAGTCAACGGCCCATTATAAGTCAACAACAGCACACAATCAGTCTACAGTCCATCATCGGTCAACCGCACACAATCAGTCTACCTACAGTCCGTCATCAGTCAACAGCACACTAACAGTCAACCGTCCATTATAAGTCAACAACAGCACACAATCAGTCTACAGTCCATCATCGGTCAACCGCACACAATCAGTCTACCTACAGTCCGTCATCAGTCAACAGCACACTAACAGTCAACCGTCCATTATAAGTCAACAACAGCACACAATCAGTCTACCTACAGTCCCTCATCAGTCAACAGCACACTAACAGTCAACCGTCCATTATAAGTCAACAACAGCACACAATCAGTCTACCTACAGTCCCTCATCAGTCAACAGCACATTATCAGTCAACCGTCCATTATAAGTCAACAACAGCACACAATCAGTCTACCTACAGTCCGTCATCAGTCAACAGCACACTAACAGTCAACCGTCCATTATAAGTCAACAACAGCAGACAATCAGTCTACAGTCCATCATCGGTCAACCGCACACAATCAGTCTACCTACAGTCCGTCATCAGTCAACAGCACACTAACAGTCAACCGTCCATTATAAGTCAACAACAGCACACAATCAGTCTACCTACAGTCCGTCATCAGTCAACAGCACACTAACAGTCAACCGTCCATTATAAGTCAACAACAGCACACAATCAGTCTACCTACAGTCCGTCATCAGTCAACAGCACACTAACAGTCAACCGTCCATTATAAGTCAACAACAGCACACAATCAGTCTACCTACAGTCCCTCATCAGTCAACAGCACATTATCAGTCAACCGTCCATCATCAGTCAATAACAGCACACAATCAGTCTACCTACAGTCCGTCATCAGTCAACAGCACACTATCAGTCAACAGTTCATAATTAATCAATATTTTTATTTTTACAATCATGAATATTTTTTCCAACCACTGCATGTGATTCTAGAATGTATAAGGGCTAGTACCAACCTTTTCTATTTCAACTTATTTTATAATTAAATTACTAATCTTCCTTGCTAAATCTGTTTGTAAAACGAATAAAATATTTAGTAAACTGATGGGCTACCATTTTGGTTAGATAAGAGATAGCGAACTCTGGTTTTCACCATTCTTTAAGTTTTTGTAAACACTTCAAAATAAGGAGTCACTTAAAGGGGGTTTACATTTTAACATTTTGAATGGCCCCCAAAATCCCCCATTTTTGGGGGACACTCAAAGTTTTCAAAATCGTAAAATGAAACTTCCTGCTAAGTTTGCACGACCACCAAAGGGATATCTCTATATATTTACTTAAATATTATAAGGGAGGGGGTCTTGACTTTCTATTCACCCTCTTAATTCTAACAGATTTGAGTGCTCTACACAATTGGGTTCCTGGTATTATCTCATGCAAGGTTAGGAGTTTTATCCGTCCCATCACCACACTCTAATCACTATTTAGGCTATGCTTCTTAACACAGATTGAACAAAAGATTGCACAAAACAAATAAGGAACTCAATCTTTAGTTTTTCAACAAACATCAAGTGGTCTAATGAAATACAAAGAAAAATATGAGGTAATGGCAATAGTTTAGTTATCTCACCATCAGATGCGGCTTGCTCTGCGTTATTCTCACGCTGCCGTCGAACCATTCGCTGTTTTTCTTCCAACTCGTGTTTTATCAGGTTGGCTTCCTGCCATCGACCCTCCTCCATGAGCCTTTGGTCAGGCCGTAGCCTAGAGTCAGTTGGGGCAATGCCTTCCTCCATTTCATTCAGTTGGCAAGCTAACAGCGTGAAATTGTAGAACTTCTCATGATCCACCCTTTGAAAATCAACATTGAGTTTTACTTTATGTCAATAAGTTTTACTTTATGTCAATAAGTTTGTACTTAAAATAGACTATTTTCGATGCCGTTAGGCCAAAAAATATTGCAATGCTACAAAATGTTTAGTCTGTTTTTGGATCAGAGTCAGTAACAGACTGCAACAGCAATGAAATTACTGCACTAAAGTTTTTGTAAAATGAACAAGATATAAACCATAACGGTTACGGAAAAAAATCCATAAAAACTTTACATTTACAATTCCCATTTTGATTTTACTCTTATGGAGAAAAAGAAAACTGTTGTGGCTTGCTTGGTTATGGATATATGTTGATCAAATTTTGAATAGTTATTTGTGTAAATAGTGTGCGGTGAGTGTGGAAAGTTCGTCGAGGTGTTCCACATTATATTTTCCTACAGTTATAACAGAGGATAGAAATAATTAGTATTTCAAACACTAAAAAACACGTTTTTGGCTAGGTTAAATCCAAACGTTGAACGAAATGGGAAACACTGCAAAAACTTATCGTAGTGGTAGTATCTAAGTGTTGTATCTCAACTTATTTTCAAGCGTACCCGTAATAAGTGCCTAATAAAAGCACACTATTTTGTGTTGTTTGGTCTGAATACTGGAGAGTGGCAAAAGTAAGTAAATGCATCAATTAGCAGACAATTGAATTGTAGACAAATGCATTTGCTTAGTCTGCGGGGTTGTTGTGGCAGGGGGAATTAATAACCTGTGGTGGATAAGATACTTCACACTAACAGTCATTGTTGTTATTTTATAACTTACGGTGGATCATTTCTCTTCCAAGCAGTGACGTATGGTCCAGCTGTGTAAGGTGGTGTTGCATTCAAGTCTTCTGATGTGACAGGTGCAATGTCTATTTGGCCATCCCAAGTGCCTTTGATCAGCCATTTGGACTTTTCATGCTTGTTTCTTACACTGCCCGTTACCTTGAAAAGTTTACACTTTGGTCAACAATCAATAATTTATCCCAACAAAACCACCTGATATACAAAAAATTAAGTAGTTGAACGTAGCACATTCTGTCTGTAGCTCAATTTAACTACAGTATTTTTTTTACTTTGAGAAGGGAAAAATTACTGTATGTGCAGCCTACTACTCTCAAAGATACTCATAGTCAAATATTTCGTGTAGAGATGTCCTGATTCTGAATTCAGAAGGCAGAAAACTCTATTCTCAATCAATATCGATTCATCACGGATTGGTACACCAACCACTGTCTTTGTTCCACAATACAAAGTAAATATTTGAGAATTAAGTGTATTGTTTTACAGAAAATATTAAAGTAACAATTTAAAAATCTAACTAGCCTATTTTAATTTAAACCTTTATGAACACATTAAATAAATACAAGGGTTAATTTTTTTAATACGGGCTGTTTTTGCGTATGGCTCTGTAGTTCACGTGTACGCCGCTGAGGGAGCTCGCTGTTTACTAACATTATTGGTGAACAGAATGGCGCCATTTGCAGCTCTGTAGCTGATGTGTACGCTTTGCTATGTGTCTAGAAATGTTTTTAAACTATAGAATCTCCAGCCGAAATGAGAGATAAGGTCAATGATAGTTTTTGACGGCAAGTAACATATCAGCTGCAGACATTCATCGCCAGATGACTGACGTTTAAGGCTCTAATGCAATGAGTGAGGGTGAAAGCCAACAAACCTTGAAATTTGTTACCTTGACTGTCCTTCGGGATATCAATCAATATTTTTTGGAAAAACATACCAACATTGAAAATATTGGCCCAAAATCTTAAGGTGAAAATATTAATTTTGATTAGCAAGACATAAATAGTAAATTTAAATAGAATCTTTAATCCAGTATGCCAACAAATTAAGAGCATGACGAAAAAATTGATGACCATATCACAATATTTCATGCCAGAAACAAGATAGGTGGTTTACTGACTCTGCATGAGCTAATGCATCTAGGTACACAATACCAAAATTAGTACGATAATTTGATACCAGCAGCATGCTCGCTGGTTGCCTAACCTTGAATTGTCTACCGTTCAGTAACTCTGCATTTTGTTACACAGGAAATAATGTTTAACAGTAAATTTTTCATGCGCTTACAGTATTTCACGTGTGTTAATAATACAAGCAAATATGTCTCTGACCCTGCTTTCATTGTGTTTTTTCATGCGGCAAATTTTTGCAGAAAATTCAATTGTCAAATTTTGTCTATCACATTTTGAATTACAATTTTTCCCATCCACTGTAGGGTATTGGTATTGGCTTGACTCTTGAGGATTGATTCTGGATGCCGATACCAATGACCAAGAATCGGTGGTAGTGAGAATCGTTATCGGGGATTGACACATCTGTAATTTATATTAAGTTCCGTTAAACTATCTCCAAAAAGCTCTTATGGGGACCCCTCAGGATTGAGGCCAGTTTGGGTACAGGGTTACACGGTTAAACTGTTAAACTGCGTTTTCCCCCTAGAACTCGTTAAATTAGGCATGTATAAGACATACTATATAAGCCAACAATGATTATTACTTCAAATTAGTGAACCTAGACACCTTTGTGGAATAGTAACTGTACACACAAAAGACAAGATGTCAAGGCTTTGGACCTTTTAAATCCTTAACAAACAAATAGAAATAACCATTACAATTCATGACAGCTCTAAGATATTATTATTTAAAATTCAGTACAATCGTTCACAATAACCACAGAGTATGCACTGTATGAATGAACGTGACTAAAGATACACTTGCACACCACCGGAATCACTGGAAAACTAATTCAAATATTTTACTTAAACTTGGGAGAGTATTTTATTTGGACTCAGGATGGACGAGATTGGATTTTTAGTTTGAGACGAGATAGGATTTTTTATTTATAATAAAATTTTGAGACGAGATCGAGACGGTATTTCCCTTCTGATACATTATGGAAATGGACGTTTGACATTTTAACCTGATTTTGTAACATTTTTACCTGGTATTGTAACATTTTTAAATACCTACTGATTTATGCCATATGACTGGTTAAACACAAAAATAATAATTATAGACAGTAGTATTTAAAATATTTTACTAAAGAAAACATTAGTATTAAAAAAATATTAATTAGGCCAACCTTATAAAAAATATCTCTTCCGCATAGGAAACATGGTGATATCAGTTAGGATATAGTTCAACTTTGAAAAATACCAAATTTATCAGTCTGAAACATCAGTCTTACTGGTTAAGTATGAAATTACAATAGTAGAACTTTGGAAAATACCACATTTATCATTCTAAAACATCAGTCTTACTAGTTATAAAATAACCTAACCATTTTTCAGTCTTGTGTTATTTTTTGAACGATTTTGGAGTGACTTGTTTTGGCTATGTTTACAGTAGTAAAACATGTCTCACACTTCTTACAATTAATACAACTTCTGATTATTTGCGATGTCAAAACAAAAATTTATAAAACAATTAAAGCAGTATTTTCATGTAAAAATCAAATAAATAAGAACGCCTTCGCAAAGGAAACACAACAACGACGCGCTCCTGTATTGCAGGCATTGCATAGACTTTCTGCAGGCGTTTTGAATTTTTTTGTATAATCTGGTCTCGAAAAAATCTCAATCAAAATAAAATCTCGCTTTGTACAACAAGATCTTAAATTCACCGAAAATTTCTCAAAATGCTGAGACCCGTCCATCCCTAATTTAATCACGTGATGACTGATCTCAAATCATTCCCACATATTTTCAGTACCGCTACCTATCCAGCACCAAAGCATGGCAGTGACAATTGTATAAATAGCCTTGATGGCAGGACACTTTTATAGCATATTCCTAAACGTGGGTATTGACTTGAGCTGTGGTGTTAGTTGTCTGACAGAAACTATCTTTGTAGGCAGGACGTCACCCAAATAACAAACATACAGTAACAAGTAGCTAAAGGAGTAAGTATTGACATACCCTGCGTTGCACATCCCTTGTGAAGTAACTGTAAGGGATGTAGCTCAGTTTGCACCTAGTGCCATCCTTATGGTTGAATATCTCCATGTCTCCGTGCTGGTCCAGCCATAGTTTACCCACGATGATATTGTGAACAGTTGTTGTCACCTTCCTCCAGGTATAGTGGTTGCCTATAAAATTTAGTGTTTGAGAAAATGCTATATAAACTTTCCATCAACTATTTTCTTTTGAGTTTGCAAATTTAAAAAATCGTATTAGCGGACCGTGGGACCCCCAAATATAGTGGAATCTTGCATATTTCAAAGGCCAGAGCGATAGTATCCCAAAGCATCTGGAATAACTCCTGATAACTTTAATTGCACATTCAACATTTCAGACCCTTTAATGTTTGCAGGCAGTAGCACAGGCCACCTTTCTTTGTGTATTAGCCCAGCTGCCATCATAATGATGGCTTCTCCACCAGCTCAGAATTATTTTGTTTGTAAGTTGCTCTCTAAGTAACACTACACTAAGTAGAAATTAAAAAAAAATATTTTAAAACACATGCTATTTGGCCATTGATTACTGCTGGCTGTTGGCATTCCAAGTAGTTAGGGGAACTGATATGAAATTAACCTGAGCTGCGTTGAAATCATCGAAGTATATAACACAACTGGAATGCTAGGTACGTGTTCACGAAAGCGCACCGTTGTGGCAGCCTTCCCTCACCATCATGCCGATTTTAGCCAATTCATAGAATAGTGCACCAAGTTGTTAACTCGCTCCTAGCCTTCAATAACAAAGATAAGTACAATAATGTTTATATATTCGTAATCTGCATTAAATGCAGAATATAATGGTATAAATACATTTTACTTTTGATTTGAAATAGAATTTTCATAGTTAAAAAGAGTCAACAATTTTTACATTGTGACATGAAAAAGTTAGTATGGGAGGAAGTATTTTATTTTTGGGCCAGAAGAAAACTTTAAGCGACAAAGTTATAGATGAAGAGATGATTTTTAACATATGATCGAGCAATTTACAATTAAGTGTGTAGTTTGTTTGTAGTATAGTGATTAATAGCGCAACGAGATTGATTTTATGTCGCACCAACCTCCTCAGTTACAGGCTCGTGCCTAGCGTCTAAAAAAATAAAAAAAACCTCCTCAGTCCAGCAACTCTTTATGTTTTTGCTCCTCGATCAATGTAAAGCTAAATAAATTTTTACCTTTTTTAATAGTTGATAGAAGTTAAAGAATACAACTATTCTATGGATGTGATCATATATTTCATTTATTTGCAGAAGATAAATATCAATACCGGTACCGGGCTGCCGCCCATGAATGAAACTGTTAGGGACACTGTTTTACAAAACCATTTGTTTCTCCAATGCTAGGAACATTATGAATGAATGTAAAAAAAATAAGTTAGGTGTAAGGCAGAGATTGAAGAAATTTGTTTTGTTTCACAACATGTAATGCAAACTTTGTACTATATTTAAGCACGATTGTGGGCAGTAAAACATATTCTTAGAAGTACTGTTTATTAATATTAACCAAACCCTTTTCTCTTAAGTGTGATGATATGAATTGTAAAACATATATAGAATAACAATGGCACTCAAAACACTCTTTCACTAATCGTTTCCAACATTATGCAAATACTCTTATTGTCAAAGGAAAACGACTAACAATTTGATTCGTAAATTTATTATTCAATTTTTGTTATTGCCTTTACGTTAAATACTTCCTAGGTTTAGTATTTATGACCTTACCAATTACTTGCTCTAATCTTAATATTTGAAATTTCTCATTGATTACCAAAAAAAGCAGATGGTAAACGATCCCTTGTTACGACTAAACAAAGGGGGATTACCAGTCCCTGTCCCTGTATATTTTAATTTATAGTAACATTTTATGTAAGTAGTTTACCTAGAAGATGATAATACAGTATTTAGTTATGTTACCTGTAATAAAAATGTATTTAATATAACTATTGGTTGTACTCAAAACGTTTCTGGGAGTACCGTAAACGAAAAGTCAGCGGAACCAGGGAGAACGGCCCGCAGCGCGATTTATAAAGAACCTTTTTGCGTTACTAATTACTCCATAACACACGACTAGAACATTTTATTTGAAATTGCTTGGTTATATGCTGAAAATCATCTCATTAGCTAAAATTTTGTCGCTTGAAGTTTGCTTCTGATCAAAAAATTTAAAAAAATCCTCGCTTAGTAACTTTTTTATGTCAAGGTGTGATATTTGTTTAACATTTTCAGTTGTTAAAACTCAAATTACGATTTAAATAAGATTATATTTATACTGTCAGATTCTGCAGTTAATGTAGATTCCGAATATATAACTTTAATTGCAGTCAACCTATTGTATGCACGGCCAGGAGCGTATTAACAACCGCGTGCACGGCTTGAGGAACTGACATATCTGCATCGAGTCCCCCTTTGTGGCGGGGGAAGGTTGCCGAAACGGCGCGTTTTTTATCCCACATCTCCTATCCACCCGGTGTTCCAGTTTATATACTTCGATGGTTGAAATATACCGAGTCCAATAGGCTACAGGGGACAACTTGATCAATTGACACAACTTGATCAATTGACCCAACATAAGAAATAAAAATGGTCTTCCTGATCCCAAAAGTGACATTTGTAAAAAGAGTATTGAATTTACCTAATATTTGTAATTGAGGGAAAAATTATACCCTCAATTTCAGGAATATCAGACAAGTCCAACATCTGTTTAAAGAACAACACACAACAGTACATTATACATAGTGCAAAATTGATGGATAAATTATTGTTTTGAATAGAAAGAAAATATCAGCCACCTGCGATGGCTGCTCCTGCGTGAGGCCATGATAGCGTGATTATGACGCAACTGCAAAATACCGTTTCTTTCATGGTATCTTCCTAAACATGCTAAACCGTTAGGACAACTTCTTGTCAAGTATAGCATAGTTTATTGTCCTCATCAACTATCAGTGTATTAAAAACTAAAAGAAAAACAGAACTTAAACATTAGCACACTGTATGAGAGGCTGATTCAACTTATATCACTTTGATTAAAACAACTGGCCACAGATGGACCATTCAGATGATGTTTACTTCAGTATATAATGTTAATACTTAAACACAATAGTTTACAACCTACCAGACTCTGGAAAGTAACAATGGGCAATACCCATAGGCACGACTTGTAGATATTTTCCTCGGAACTTGGATGTCATTGTGAACTCTTGCCAGCAGACCCACTTCTTTCCCTCACAGTGCTGGGCCACCATTGGTGGGTGGTGGGATACCTGACACAGAAATACACTGTTAGAGCTTATGCTGGAGACGAAGAGTCAAATTGTAAAGAAGAAGTTTTTGGCATTGTTGTGTGAGTAGGATAGAAGTGTTGATGTGATGAAATGCAGAAGACAGTTGCTTTAAATAGGTTGGTTTACTTGATCTAGGGGTGGAAATGTGAGTATTTACAGATAAAGTCACCAGTTCTCCCCCAACTTCTTTCTGGTCCTCTGGGCAATCTTCCCTAGCTGACTGACCCCATTCCCAACCACAGATTGGATATTATTCACAAAAAATTCTATTGAGTACAAATCATAAACACTTCTAGCTAGCTTCCCAGCTTGCAGGGTTTGAATACAAATAAAAAAAAAACACAAAGTTTAAATGTAAACAAATATTGTTAGTTTTCACCCTAAAACAAATAAGAAAAGTTTGGCAGTCTGGTTATGTGACATCCGTTATAAAATTCAAAATATTGTTTTCCATTCCTACAAGTAATCACAAAATAAGGTCTAGCCATGAAAACATTATAAATCTAGTCGTTTTATACTGTACAAAAAAAAGTATTTGTTTGTTTGAATCATTTTTGTTGTGGGCTCATTAAGTATAAATGATTATTGTAGCCAATTTCTGTAATATATATGAAAAATGGTGTATCAATTTTTGGTCTAGTTGCCAAATACTTGCCCCCATGTAACGGTATAATATCATACGATGTTTCAATAAACGGTATTGGGTACAAAACATCACCTGATCACCTCTCCACCTATATCATAACACCATCCATGTCCATCCATTTCTTCACCACAGTCTACTTCCAGCAGTCCAACCCAAACATCGTGGTATGAATGCAAATTGTGTCGTTATTCTGCTCACTCAAGTAGGACTAATGTTATAAGTGTAAACCACGAACACAACATTTATCCTCACGGAAAAGTAAACTCCAGCTTCTTGACATTTCAGGATCTAAAATTGACCATCTCTTCAGGTGGGAAGAAGCCAAGTAGTCTACTACTATGCCACCTGAACTTTGGTCAGGTTCTGAAATATTGTTTAGTTTGTTTTTTGCTAATCAGCAATCACATATGTCTTCAGTACAGTTATCTTACTTCATTAACAGTTTTTATAGAAGAAACGTCTCAAGTACCAAAGGACTTGTGTGAATCTTACTTGTTCGGAAATAGCCCTCCATCCAAGATCATCCCTCCTGTCACACTCGTACGTCTCGCCCAGTAGAGGGTTGAAGGGTTTGCCAGTGCGGTACGCAGTGCTGGAGTAGCTGGACACCGTGAACGCAGCTACATACGCCATCTGCTCTGTAGAATCTGAGCATTCCGCAGCCCTGTCCAACACATCCGCATACTCGTAATCTTCTGTCAACCGCTGCAGCATTGACAACGGTTCTGAGAAGTTCACCTGCGTTGACCAAATTAAAGTATGAACAAAACAAAACAATGTTAAATAATTAGTTTGATGGCAAGCACACGAGATATTTATCTCAACAAAATAACAGTTTTGGTTTGAATGGAATTGATTGTTCAATTAGCTAATCAATAGGCTTATTATTCTGCTTATATGTATTGTGCTTGTATTGTTTTTTGTATTATGTTTTTTTTTTTTTGATTGATTGACATGCCTTTTGAAACCACGGAACAACACTTACAGGCATAGGAATTTTGGAGAGCTCTTTCCCAATGCAATTCTTCATGATGCTCCAGAGATTGAGGGAGCTGTTGGGACGGTCAGGAACCCTGGTCCTACGATGACCTGGTCTAGCGATAGATCTACACAAGGCTTGGGTCTCAGTGAGGACCTCGCTTTCCTGGAGGGGTGAACTGTAAGTAGCTAACTGGAGAGATGAAGTTTCTGTAAACCCCGACATAAACTCGTCAAAATTCCATCCTCTCTAAAAGATTTTATCTCACATTGGCCAATGTGGTAACATTGCATCAGTGTTTATTTCAAAGATGAACAAAGTAAAACCTCAGGGTTTCAACTTAAATAATGCATTGGATATTATAAAACTTGTTAGTTAACTTTTAGCTATGTTATTGGCCTTTTAAATCTGTTTAATTATTCTTCTGTTAGTAGTTGACTACAGGCTTTGCTTTCTTGTTAACTAGTTTTGAATGTTGTTTTTGACTATATTATTTGAAGGAAAATGGGCGCTCTAAATTAATCTATTTGTAACTTATTAGGCCTTATAATTGTAGGCTCTCATTGATGTCAACCATATATGGTGTATTTTTGTTGTTGAAATAAATTCTTGATTCTTGGTTGTCTGTCAAACGTAGTCAAATTTATTAGCACACCAAATAGACTGGCATGATGTTATTTTCATGTCAGATTCAACATCTTTCCTGTTATATTTCTCATTATTTATTCACATTGAATTTGGCGACATTGTTACTGCACAACCAATGTTTTGTGATAGTTAATTATAAACATGCATATACATTTGCAACTCAAAGTTTAATTTACCTTTGGCAGGCTTGATTGGTTGTGAAGGCACTGTTTGTTTTACTTTAGATGGCTTCTTTTCTTTGGTTTTCCTGAGGTTTGATATAAGATGTTTCTTTTTACCCTAAAAAAAGAATTGTGAATATTATTTTTACCTCCAATACATTTTGATATATGGATACAAATTTATAACAATGTACTGATATTATTAAAACCATTGAATACAAAAAATCAAAACTTAACACATTCCTCAGTGTTAGAGGACACTAACAGTGTTTCAAACGAAAAGGCAGATTTTATATTATGTTTATTACTTGGAACCTATTAATCGGCCAAGTACGATTTGTGTAACATTTTTGTATACGCTAATTTCCTTTTTTAACACAGCAATTTGTTTATGTTTGTTAGTCTCTTTCTTTAGACATTACCTTTAGATGTTCGGGGTCATCGGGTGATGGGTTTCTTGCATACATAACCATTTACCACAAACTTCCTATGTCATTCGTAAATTTGTCTGTGCCACGGGGGTTACTCATAAATGATTGTCAGAAGTTGGTTCACTTGAATAATTGGTTCTCATTTTGCTAATTCCAAACAAAATATGATTTTTCTCGAGGAGACGTAATTTTTCCAATTACAAGAATGTAGTGAAAACAAAACTTTGTATTTGAAAGTAATAAAAGGCAATCAGCTGATACGAAAATGATAATCCATCCAATGCCATTTGGATCATACTTGGTTGATTATCGATTAACAGGCACCAAGCAATCAACATATCAAATCTGCCCATTCATTTTTAAACACCCTGTACAGAACAAAACCAGGAAAAAACTATTAAAAAAACATAAACATAGTAAAAACCAAAAATAGAAGTTTCTATTAAATGCCTGAATTTTCTGTTGAGGATCATTGTGCCCACACGAAGCGATGGATTTTGGCCTTACTTTCTAATTATTTACTATTGTGACAAAAAGTCCCAAAACTATCCTCCGTCTAAAGTACAGTATACTCCCGATTAACCGAGGTTGTTGGGACCGAGACTACCTCGGTTACCAAGAATCTCGGATAACACAGAGGTCGCATAGATTTTAAAGTTAGGTTATGGTACCTTATTATGAAGTCAAATACTTGTAAAATATATCTTTAAACAACACATAGCAAATGAAAAATGATAATAATTTTATTTTGATGTAACCTTTTTTTCAAATAACGTAGTATCGTTAAAGAAAAGAAATGACACAACAAATATGTTAAACACTTTTTAATCATCTTGAAAACTTTAAGTACAGTAGGCCTAACCTATTATTAGAATTATGATAAACCAATACACACTAAATTTGTTAAAACAAAACCCTATAGTGGATCTTTGTAGTTTTAAAAGCATAAAATTACATTTTGTTTAAGTTTGACCCAACTTGACACAATCATGTCTACATCAAAACATCGTAATGAAGAAGACTGACTGACAATGCTATTGTTAATGTTCTGCAGACGGCTGGCATGGCTCGTCCAGTCCAGTTTGCCATCGGTAGCCAGCCAACCCAGTTCTGTGGGATTTTAATTTTTAAGGTTATTGCGGTTCATTCTAGCGTTAAAATAATATGTATTGGTTATTCCGAGTAATGAATTCATTTCAATAAATCTCAAATTAATTACTATTTTTGCTCTTCTTTGAATAGAAACATTTTATAATAAAGCAGTTAAGTTTTTATTTTTTTTATAATTTAAAAAATTATATTGTCATATTGAAAATAAAAATAAATATTTAGACCAAAAAACAACCTCGGATATCCCGAGGGCTCGGATAACCGGGACTCGGATAATCGGGAGTGTAGTGTAACATTTCCATCTACACCATGGATTTGGCAAACCTGTAGAGAAGTGCAAACAGTCAAGACGGTTACAGTTAAGAGTCAAGGTGGGGTGTTCAAACAAGTGATATACAAGTGATGGGATTCACATCCAAGGAAGCTAGGCACTAGCCTGGAACCATTTTCATATTAACTCAGAGAGTCACAGCATTATCACTTGGATAAAATCTACTGGTGATTGGCAGGATTTGAAACTCAAGGAGTTAGGTCACAGTACGGAGAAGCAGAGAGGTGATGGAGTGAGTTGATCCAAAGGACAACAGGGGAATCTTGGAAGATGTATGAGGAGGAATGGATAGCCTTAGAGCAGGTTTTAGATATATTTAGAAATTAATGCACATCATTAATTCTTATTCTATTCTCTTGAAAAGAGATATAATAGTTTGATGGTGATACCTGGGTAGAAGCCTCAGGATTGGTCTTTTGTTCATTTTGTTCATCAACGTCACTACTCGAGCCAGATGCTTCATCCCCCTGAGTGTCAAGAAGCTGAAATAACATCAGATGTTTTATTTTTTTTTTAATTCTTGATTTCTATTTTAGGAATGTATTAACACACACAGTACTGGGTGGTGATAAACCAGACATGCAGAGGAGTGATGGCTGGGAGGGAATGTGTAAACACACTCAGTACTGGGTGGTGATAAACCAGACATGCAGAGGAGCGACGGCTGGGAGGGAATGTGTAACACACTCAGTACTGGGTGGTGATAAACCAGACATGCAGAGGAGTGACGGCTGGGAGGGAATGTGTAACACACTCAGTACTGGGTGGTGATAAACCAGACATACAGAGGAGTGACGACTGGGAGGGAATGTGTAACACACTCAGTACTGGGTGGTGATAAACCAGACATGCAGAGGAGTGACGACTGGGAGGGAATGTGTAACACACTCAGTACTGGGTGGTGATAAACCAGACATGCAGAGGAGTGACACCTAGGAGGGAATGTGTAAACACACTCAGTACTGGGTGGTGATAAACCAGATATACAGAGGAGTGACACCTAGGAGGGAATGTGTAAACACACTCAGTACTGGGTGGTGATAAACCAGATATACAGAGGAGTGACACCTAGGAGGGAATGTGTAAACACACTCAGTACTGGGTGGTGATAAACCAGACATGCAGAGGAGTGACGACTGGGAGGGAATGTGTAACACACTCAGTACTGGGTGGTGATAAACCAGACATGCAGAGGAGTGACACCTAGGAGGGAATGTGTAACACACTCAGTACTGGGTGGTGATAAACCAGACATGCAGAGGAGTGACACCTAGGAGGGAATGTGTAAACACACTCAGTACTGGGTGGTGATAAACCAGATATACAGAGGAGCGACGGCTGGGAGGGAATGTGTAACACACTCAGTACTGGGTGGTAATAAACCAGACATGCAGAGGAGTGACGGCTGGGAGGGAATGTGTAAACACACTCAGTACTGGGTGGTGATAAACCAGATATACAGAGGAGCGACGGCTGGGAGGGAATGTGTAACACACTCAGTACTGGGTGGTAATAAACCAGACATGCAGAGGAGTGACGGCTGGGAGGGAATGTGTAAACACACTCAGTACTGGGTGGTGATAAACCAGACGTGCAGAGGAGTGACGGCTGGGAGGGAATGTGTAAACACACTCAGTACTGGGTCGTGATAAACCAGACATGCAGAGGAGTGACGGCTGGGAGGGAATGTGTAAACACACTCAGTACTGGGTGGTGATAAACCAGACATGCAGAGGAGTGACGGCTGGGAGGGAATGTGTAAACACACTCAGTACTGGGTGGTGATAAACCAGACATGCAGAGGAGTGACTCCTAGGAGGGATTGTGTAAACACACTCAGTACTGGGTGGTGATAAACCAGACATGCAGAGGAGTGACGGCTGGGAGGGAATGTGTAAACACACTTAGTACTGGGTGGTGATAAACCAGACATGCAGAGGAGTGACGGCTGGGAGGGAATGTGTAAACACACTCAGTACTGGGTGGTGATAAACCAGACATGCAGAGGAGTGACGGCTGGGAGGGAATGTGTAAACACACTCAGTACTGGGTGGTGATAAACCAGATATACAGAGGAGTGATGGCTGGGAGGGAATGTGTAAACACACTCAGTACTGGGTCGTGATAAACCAGACATACAGAGGAGTGACGGCTGGGAGGGAATGTGTAAACCCACTCAGTACTGGGTGGTGATAAACCAGACATGCAGAGGAGTGACGGCTGGGAGGGAATGTGTAAACACACTCAGTACTGGGTCGTGATAAACCAGACATGCAGAGGAGTGACGGCTGGGAGGGAATGTGTAAACACACTCAGTACTGGGTGGTGATAAACCAGACATGCAGAGGAGTGACGGCTGGGAGGGAATGTGTAAACACACTCAGTACTGGGTGGTGATAAACCAGACATGCAGAGGAGTGACTCCTAGGAGGGATTGTGTAAACACACTCAGTACTGGGTGGTGATAAACCAGACATGCAGAGGAGTGACGGCTGGGAGGGAATGTGTAAACACACTTAGTACTGGGTGGTGATAAACCAGACATGCAGAGGAGTGACGGCTGGGAGGGAATGTGTAAACACACTCAGTACTGGGTGGTGATAAACCAGACATGCAGAGGAGTGACGGCTGGGAGCAAATGTGTAAACATTCTCAGTACTGGGTGGTGATAAACCAGACATGCAGAGGAGTGACGCCTAGGAGGGATTGTGTAAAAAAAATTCTATAGCCTAAATTGATATATTGCTTTCCTAAAAATATTTGCAATTTAAATATTACACTCATCACAACTTGATAACACTTTAAATTGAGTTTTTTTTATTTATGTTAAATTAAGTCTGTTATAGGCCTACTGTCTAAAGTAATATTTATGACACCAAATAGGGACATTATTATATGGTTTGTATTGTATAATTCAGTTTAACAAAGTGTTTTTCAGGACTAACTTAAAGTCCCTGTTTGCGAAAACAGCTCAAAGAAAATAATTGTTTTCAAGCTCTAAATTTACTTCACCTAGCTCTCAATCAGCTCTCTATTGCCTCTAACTTATGCATTAGTGCGAGGGGCGGGAATTCTCGTCCCGCCGTACCGACACCACTGGTGCAGGGCGGGAAATGTCATCCTCCTTGCATAACAACAACCTTGCTTCAGTGTGAGCTCAGCTTCTCACGGGGAACATTTTTTTACCGATTGCTGCTTATTCTGCAGTTTTATACTTCAATCCAGTATAATTTGTTTTCAGATATGACTATTTTATCTGTGGAAGCGATTTTTCTAAATTTAACGTAGTGTGGGGTTTTGGCTTTGAATTAGTGAAATGGAATGGAATAATGATAATAGTTACTGCAGTGAAGCTTTATGGAAGTTACCTAACCTCAAAATTGTGCTTGACACCTTTTTGCAATATTTTTTTTATCCGGATTTTTCGTCCCTGCTTTTTCCCTCCATTTTGCAATACTGAGAGCCCTCTTTTTAGTGTTGATATCTGTTGGGTTCTTGTAAAACTACATACACAATGGCTGAAACGCAGCATATGTTATAATATGCCTTTCCTATTTTATGAAACTAAATTTAAACATTTTTGCACACTCATCTACACAGCTCATTGGCTGCTCCCGCCAACACCAGCGAACGTGTTGAATCAGTTATTTACATTGTTGAACAATCTAACTGCAAACAGAAATATGCATCATTACGTCGTGATGAAAAGTATCGTTCATAACTTGCATCAAACGAGATTTTCAGTCACTCACTCCAATTAATCCCGTCATCGGATTCACTGACACGAGGCGCAAGTGTAATTTGGTGTTCCTGTATTTGGCTTTGCCTCACACATGAAATCCGAGGGTGCATCAGAAAATTCCTCTTTTGGTACTTGTAATGAATTATAATATTTTATTTTCTATATAAAATTTAAAAAAATATTATTTTTATTTTATTAAGACCATTTTTATTACAAAATTAAAGTTTCTCTAATAGTAGCTTTCCTACTTCAGTTGTACCTTACAGTCACAACAATCAGTACTCCCAATCAAAAAGCAAGGAGTTGCTTTAAATGATTTTAATATATTTCACTTATTTGAAGTATGAAATTCTGAAATATCCTATTGAAAATCTATGGTGTTTAATTAATAAATATTGTATTTATATAGATGATATTAAAATGTAACCATAAAATTTTCAATCAACCGACAGTAAGCCAGATATGGGAAGGTGTTTTTTGGATTAAAAATAGTTTTTATGTGCAGTCTTTGTCACATTGATTAAAAGTTCAAAGATAATCTTTTACAACCATACCATTACTGTAATCTTGATGTAGAAGTTTGAAGTGAAATAACACATTTATAAACATTAAGTAACAACACATAAATACCTGAGGCAAGGGTTTGGTAGGTTTTTCCATAGGTGGAACTAATGAAAGATGAGAGTTTTGTTTCTGGTCACTTTCGGCGTCGAAAAATTGCGCTCCATCTTCGTCCTCTTCATCTGATGAAGCTGACAAACCTGGATGGTTAAAAAAGCACTCTATATCAAGTCTAAAAGATGAAGGCAGTCTATCAAAATTCAATGATTAAATATGTCTATTAATTTTATTTTAGTGTGATAAGGGATGGAGGAGATTGGATTTTTAGTTCGAGACGAGTTGAGACGGGATTATTATTTCTCATAAAATTTCAAAACGAGGTCAAGATGGGGTTTCCCTTCTCATACATAACGGGAAATGCACGTTCAACAATTTTACCTGATGTTGTAACATTTTAAAATACCTACTGATTTATGACAGACAACTGGTAAAATACAAAAATAAAAATAATAATAGACAAGAATATTTTTAATCTTTCATAAAAAAACATTAATAAAAAACGTCAATATTAAAACAAATATTAACATTAGAAATAACTCTTCCGTATAGGAAACATGCTGGATGATATCAGTTAGGATATAGTTCAACTTTGAAAAATACAAAATTTAACAGTCTGAAACATAAGTCTTACTAGTTAAGTATTAAATTACAATAGTAGAACTTTTAAAATACCAAATGTATCATTCTAAAACATCAGTCTTACTAGTTAAGTATCAAGCAACAATTTTTCAGTATTCTGTTATTTTTAGAATGATTTTGGAGTGAATGTTTTGGCTATGTTTACAGTAGTAAAACCTGTCTCATACTGCTTACACCAAAACTTTTCATTATTTTCTATATCAAAACCAAAAATTATAAAACAATTAAAGCAATATTTACATGCAAAAATAAATTAAATAAGAACACCTTCATAAAGGAGACGCAACAGCAACGCGCTTATGTATTGCGGACATTGCACTGACTTTCTGCAGGCGTTTTTAACGTCTTTTTACAATCTCATCTCAAAAAAATCTCAAACAAAATAAAATCTGATTTCGTAGAACAATATTTAAAATTTCCTGAAAATTTCTCGACATTTCGAGACTTGTCCATTCCTAAGTGTAATGTAGTTAGACTTTTAGACAACTCTACTTATAAGTCCGAAGTCTCCAAGCTTGGGAAAAACACTAGAGATCCAACTATTTTACCTTGAAAAAAATAAATATCCTTTGTGAAAACGAGCTTTAAAAACACAATATCTATCAGTATTAAATTTATAGTATACAGTAGTCCCTTGCTAATTCGTACGCTCCAGAGTATTCTCTCTCTAAAATGTCATATCTTTATTATTAGTAAGTATGTAATTTCATACAAAAGTACAGTACAGTAGATACTTAAACAACACCAAATTGTACTGCACTTCAATATTAAATTATATAGATTGCATTAATTAGCTTACAATCACTTAATAGTAGGTACAGTAATCACCGACTTGCACCACTACAGTACTGGCAAGCTGCAACAAATCAGTTGCAAAACAAGAAACACTCGTACTCGCCACCTGCTCTGTTGTTGTTGATGTTAACATTTTCCAAGAACATCATCTGTCTTGTATTAAACGGTCTTATTTAATTGTGACACAAATTCACTAATTCAAATTGTCTTAATGGTTTTAATTTCTCCTAAATCCGGCTGCCCGTTTTAGCGGGATTATCAAGGAATTCGGCATGAATATTATAATTAGTATGAATATTAATATGAATTGAAGATGACTTACAATTAAATATTCACTAAAAGTATCTTGAATAAAATGACAAGAAACACTGAAAAAGTATAAAAAGTCCTTGGTGTAAAACAGAGTTATGTAACAACAGAGGTATTGTAGCATAATGTGAATTACATTTTACACTGGGGAAATAAAATGCAATGCATAATGTGTTAAGGTATTTTCCAGGTGTTTTCTTTTTTTCAGGTGTTTTCGTTGCTGTCAAATTTAATTTGATAATACAAGGGCCGTTTGTGCGTAGAACTTCATAGTTCGCATGTACGCCGCAACAAGGCTCCTAGCCGCTTACTGGAATTTTGTTAACAGAACGGCGCCATTTGCAGCTCTGTTGCTGACGTGTACACTCTGCTATGAGTTTATAAAACTTTTTTAAAATTATTGAATCTGCCGCAACATGCAATATAAGATCAGTGATATGATTTTTTGACTGCAATAAACATGTCAGCTTCAGACATTCATTGCCAGATGACAGAAGAAGATGGCCCTAATGCAATGATAGAGGGTAAAGAGCAGCAATATGATAGGGAGTTTGAAAATGACCGTGAAAATGTCCATTTTGGAAGGAATTTGCTGATCTTTATAACAGTAGGGTGTTAAATAATATTTGACTTGAACTAGAGTCCGTCATTGAGAATTTAAAAACCTTCTGAGAATGAGGTGTTTGAAAATAGCATACTGTCAAAACATGTTAATATCTCAGTTTCAGCGTTGTTAAAATGAATTCAAATCACAAGTCATAAGTCATAAGTATTTTATTGCATAAAACATTCTTCATTACAAAGGCAATGGTGAACAGATGCATGGTCAATCAATAAGTTATAAAAACTAAAAGTAATAAGTTACAACAAAATACAACAAGAACAGCACAATTGAGAGAAAGTTACCAATTCAAAGAAGTTAGAAAAAAGACAAATTTAAATGAAGATCTTGAAGCAATATCAGAGAAAAAAACAATTAAAAACCTCTTCCACTGACACAGGTGAAAATTCACTTAAATATTTTGTCTTACATGAAGGGCTGTCTTTGATAAAAGAAAAATCAGCTTTAGGAACTTTTAATAAGTCAACAGTGTTAATAAAATGATTGTTAAAACTTTGAGTGATTTTTTGAGGATTTGAAATTATCTTATTGTTTATTTTTAAGGTAATAGGTTCACTAATTTTATTACAATGAATACCCATTTCTCTTTTAACAACTAGCCCAGGCAAATTAGACATATGCTCCCCAAAAAATCGTCTAAAGCTGGAAAGTGTTTTAATACCTTTTGGGGGTCCCAAATAAGACTCCTGTGAGTTTGCGACGTATTCTGACGTCTGCTTAAGTTTTGGGAGTCGAAAAACTATGAATAATTTGTATTTTTTTCAGTTTTTCGCTTATAACTCCTAAATAACGAATCCTAAGGAAAATGTTGTTCAAAGGTGTCTTTTAGTGCGTTAAATTCCGCGTCGATTGATGTTAAATACGTCAAAATCAAGCTAGCCGTTTAGCCGCTGTAGCTTTTCAAAGGTGGGATATTTTCATCAACATGGCCAAAAGGTTGATTATTTGACCAGTTTTCGTCTTACAACTCCTAAACGACGCATGCTATACGAAAATGCGCCTGTAGTTAGTTTGGAAAACACAAAATTTTGCGTAGAATTATGATTATGAATGACTAGAAAACGGTTTAATTCATGGTTATCATCCAGAGGTTTATCCAAGAATGTGTGAAGGGAAGGGTAGCAAGACCCCCTATGCAATTTTAAATCTAATATTGTTGAGGGGGTTACAAAAATTCTAGGATTCGTCCTAAGCTTCCACTTATACGATCCCATCTCTGGACACTCCGGAATGATGTTGAGCGATTCTAATATATAATAAGATATTACAACGAGAAAGATTTTATTAGATATAGAAAAAATGTTATTTTTTAGCTTAATAAACGAAAGATGATAATGGGACGGATGTACATAGTTTTACTATGTATTTAGCCTATTAAAAAAACGATTGGGATTTTTCGTAGATTTTACCATATAACTTTTCTACTTCTCATCATTGGAATCTTAAGAATAAGGATTCATTCTTTGCTCTTATTTGTCTTGCCACAAATGGTGACATTCGGTGACAGACAGTAGTGCATTATATCCCTGCATTTCATATGGAGCGAGAAAATGTAAACCTTTTCAACATGTACACGATGGTCGAGATAGGTAGACGGAGTTGAGAAGTTCTTGTCGAACCGGTGGATTAGCCGTAGTGATGGGAGTTAACCCATTGACGTTAATTTTCCATACCATCTCTCTGAATTATAAGTACAATTTTAAATCAGCTCTAAAGGATTGGTGGATGAGCAGCCCCTTTTGTTAGAATCAAAGTCAAAATTAGTTGAAAGTGTCCTCTAGAAGAGACCAACCCTTACTTGATTTGGATATTTTCTGCTCCCAACCATGTATAGGGCCAACCTGCTTCTGCAACTTCGCCAAGCGTTGTAACCCGTCAGAACACAGTGAGATCCAAATTGATTGGAGTAAACAGCATGAGTAGTTTTAGGCTACATGAATAGTTAGATTTTCGACTCTTCTACATCACGCTTTCTTCGTCAAACTGCGCTAGTGGGCACGGACCTATTTTTAATCCAAAATATGATTCGAATTGAGGCTTGGATTTAATGTGGAATATCACGTGTTGACTGAGGGGGCAGATTCTTCTTTAACCTTTGCTGTTGCCATCACAGCTCGCGATTAATGTCACCACTTCCTTTTATTCTGCACAGTTTATGGTCATTATAGGCTTGCCTATTTACGATTTTCTTGCAAGCTGTGCCTTTCCATTATGCTTTATACATATCTCGCGTTGATGCTATCATAAGGGATAACTGCTGAGCTGATTGACATGAGTGAACTATTTTCAGTAAATGGATCGTGACACTGGAACCATTTGATGAATTTCTTTTTGATCCCACCGTATCCATGGAGTTTATCTTGTCAACTTGCTGATAATATGTTGAAGAGGTGATCCCACAATATACCTTAACTTGATGGGCATTCACTGCGATGGGCCTGCCAGCGAACCATCGGGCTAGGTCCACATCATTGATTCCCCTATCTCGGAAAAAGCTCTCCACAGTAAGATGTTGCTCTCATGAGCACTTACTTGTTCATAGGCCATGCTGCACGATCCATGACGTCACATTAGTGGATAGATTCACTGCCATATCCCCTATGGTTTTGGTAATTAGGCTGGTTGTTTGCCAGATTTCAATGGTAAGATTTTAAACTTGACAAGCATCTGATCTAGTGTTAACAATCAATAGCGGTTAAATGGTGAAGCCGATCTTAATGAATTGGAAAACATTCTACGCCGACAATTAATTATCTTCAAACTAACTACAGGAACATTTTTTCTATAGCATGCGTTAGAAGATGTAAGCCAAAAACTGAAAGATGAATACAGGGATAGATCGTATATAATGGGTGGTTGGGATGAATCCTAGAATTTTCGGAACCTCAGACAACAATATTAGACTTAAAATTACATAGGGGGTCTTACTATCTTCACACCGTATTAGATAAACATCTAGATGACCATCATGGAATAAACCACTATCTAATAATTCATAATCCATTTAAGGACAGGATCTATGTTGTTACCAATTTTATTAAAATTTCCCAACTTTAACTTTAATACTTTTTTCAATTAAATAGCGTCCATACAAAGTAGGTAACAATCAATTGCCGTTATTGATTAATAAAAAAAAACATTATACGCAGAATTTTGTGTTTTCCAAACTAACTACAGGTGCATTTTTGTACAGCATGCGTCGTTTAGGAGTTTTAAGCCGAAAACTGGTCAAATAATCAACCTTTTGGCCATGTTGATGAAAATATCCCACCTTTGAAAAGCTACAGCGGCTAAACGGCTAGCTTGATTTTGACGTATTTAACATCAATCGACGCGGAATTTAACGCACTAAAAGACACCTTTGAACAACATTTTCCTTAGGATTCGTTATTTAGGAGTTATAAGCGAAAAACTGAAAAAAGTGCAAAATTTTCATAGTTTTTCGACTCCCAAAACTTAAGCAGACGTCAGAATCCGTCGCAAACTCACAGGAGTCTTATTTGGGACCCCCAAAAGGTATTAAAACACTTTCCAGCTTTAGACGATTTTTTGGGCAGCACACCCTATATTTGATCTAATTTGCCTGGACTAAACAGCCCATGTATTTTTATTCTTTTGGTGCAGAACTGTCTATTCAGTTTGTTGGGTAGAGACAACAGCAGAGCATTATGATCAGAAAAAGAGGTATTGATGTTACACAATTGGCCTTTCCCAAAATTTACACTAGTCAGAATATTATCAATGCAAGAAACAGTGGTATTAGTTATTCTGGTTGGATATCTGTTATTGATTACAAAGCCAAATTCATTTACAACTGTTTGAAAGTATTCAGAGCTCTTGTCTTTTTTTAAAAGATTGATATTAAAGTCAGAGGCAATTACGACTTTCTTAAATCTAATTTCTTTTTCTAGTGTTTGAAGTAAAAATCTAAACTTATCCAAAAACAATTTTGACATAGAGTAACCAGGAACTGTATACAGTGAGTCTTTTTTTTAGGACAAATTTAACAGTTTGTGCTTTACTCTTATATATACCAGAGGACAGGCAATCTTTTTCAAATATATTAATTGAAAAATAAAAAATATATACGTCTAATAACACTTGTAATAATATATTTACACTAATACTGTTGACTTACAAGACGGTAAATACATATAAAACTTGGTAAGTGGTGTTCACCACTTGCCAACTTTTATATGTATTTACCGTCTTGTAAGTCAACAGTATAAGTGTAAATATATTATTACAAGTGTTATTAGACGTATATATTTTTGCTTTTTTCAGGTAATTTAATAACACGTACGATGCTGATCAAGAAGTTAAATATATTAATATATTTAGTTAATATAGCTTTTAATTTGGTTAAATAACAAGAAAAAAATTGTTAACTCAAAACATTTGCAAAATGAACTGGACAGAGACGTACCATAAAGTTGTCTTCAGTTCTTTGTCAGATGATAAATCTCTAAGGTAGAATGTTTAATCAACGTTACTCACTTGCTTGCATTTGATGCGTTTTAGCCGCTTGCTCCAAGATGTTTTGTTGTCTTGCTAATTGTTCTATGATTTCCTCCAGGCGCTGCCTTTGGTCTTGTTCATGCTGCAACATCTTCTGCCACTTCTGACCCTGGGATTGAGCCAAATCTAGGAATTCCGCGCAAGCCTGTTGAAAATCAACGAAGCACCTTGAGCAATGGTACAAAAATTATACGAGTCATAATTACTGTATTGTCATTAGGGAATAAAAACCACAATGGAGAACTTGAAGAAATGAGAGAATGTTTTCCTTCAACCTATCTTGGCCATGTAGGGGAGAGTTGGACAAAACGGGACGGTTGGGCAAAACGGGATACCCTACGTTTTAGCGATACTAGTGCTACAATCTAGCGGGAAAGCATAGGTTTTAGCTCTTGGCATTCTCAGTTGAACACGGAAGGCCAGAATTCAGTTTGCTTGAGTTATGATGTTTCAAAGTTTTGTACTGAGTTTTCGGCCAAAATCGTTGGTTTTTGATTGACAATCTTCTTGATATAGTGTCTGTGTGTGAAAGAATGCAATTTTGGTAGCATTATGTTTTGTTTGCTGTTTATTTCCGAATATCTTTATGTTATCACCTTGTAGTTTTGCTGCTTAGTTCTGGCAGCAGCCATATTTGATTCAAAATGTGTCAGGGTTAGACAAAACGGGATGGTTTTGAGTTGGACAAAACGGGATAGGCATTTTTAGAGTTGGAGCTGGAAGAAAGAGAAAGGAATGAAAAAGAAAATGCCAGAATAGTTAAAATTAGAGAAAAGGCTAATAAAAAGGGACTGTTTTATATAAAAAAAAGAAAATTTAAAAAATCAAACGGATAACAAAAGGAAAGAACCAAGAAAATGTTACCAAATCATCCCTGTTCAACAAATACAAAGGTCCATTGCACAGGAAAAGTCCTCCTCATCTGTAGATGAAGAAGATCAAGGAAAATCAACTTCATTTGGTTTTTAAACGATAACCGCTTACTTTTTAAAATATTTTTTTTAGATTTGATGATAAACATATAACATAGAAATTCCTATCCCGTTTTACCCAACCATGGTTGGGTAAAATGGGATGTGTAAGGGTTTAGGAAATGTATATATATATACATGTATAACGTATTGTAAATTTCAAAACAGTGTTTATATGATGAAATATAACAAATATACTACACTTTCATCTACCATTTTCAGATTTTTCATTAATCCCTTTTTTTAATAAAATAAAAAAATAATGGTATCCCGGTTTGCCCTACTTTCCCCTACAGGTAATAAAAACTTGTTAATGAGGTTGAAGGTCTCTTTAAAACTTGCATTTACCTGCTCACGTAGGCTTTGGGCCATGGTGATTGCATGTTGTTGGTGTTTGGAACCATTGACTTTTAAATACTGAAGTAGACATCCCATCTATATGAACCAGCTGAAGGACATTTTATTTCAAAATAACACGGTTCAATAAGCTACTCACAGAATGCGTTACAATCTAAAATTCTATTTTTTCATTTGGTTTATGTAACTGGAATACGGTGGTTGATTTGACATGAAAAATGCAAGAGCTTACAATAAGTAATCCCATTAGTTTGGCTTGGTGTAAAAGTTGGGGTATTCGAAAGAAATTAGTAATTTACAACTATTGGTGATTCAATTCAACAACGTTCATTTTGATTATAAAACTGAAAAACTTTAACATGGGGATGTAATATCTTAATCTATCAACTGTCAAAGATGGAACGTATGAATCAGGATGTGAGACAGTTTAGTACAAGAATGAAATAAACAAATAGATTTTAGTAGCGGCACCAGGACTCGAACCCACGACATCCCTACCTTGGAATCGTATCAGCCACCAACATATCAAACAGAAGTAAATTACAAGTTATATACAGAAAAAAAACAAGGGACCTTGGCAAATTTATAAATAAAAAAACAGCTGTTGATTGAGAATACAAGAATCACGCTAATCCGACATCGACTAGTTTGACTCCTCGCTTAATCCAACCGCAACCGACCATATCGGTTTTATGTTAACTCAGTAATATCATTTCCCATCTTTAATCCCGTGGTCACACAGACACATCATCATCGAGATATCAGGATTTTGCCACAACTACGGCTTCTGACTTATTTGATTACTTCAGTATTCTCATTTATCATGTATTTTTATGAGTTTTAGGTTTTAAAAATGCATTCTGTGTTTAAATATATATATCTGAAAATTAAAACAAATAGTTTTTTGACGTCTGGGGACATCAATATAAAAAGGTCAATAGGTCTCGGGTCTAGGTCTTACTGTGCTCCTATAGTAATTGTTTCTTCCTTCCAGGACGAATAGGCTAAAATAAATCCTTTGTTTGAAGTTCATTGTTGGTGATGGTGAGTTAATGTTGTTCAAAGGTTTATTGCGGACATTTTCCATCACGAATGTAAAACATGCATTTCTGTTGTCTCCGTGTTTCCGATTGGTCGGCCATGTTACTTCAGTCTCATTGGTGGAGTCATTGCGAACGGTGCTATTAGTGTTCCATTGTGTAAGCTTTTTACGTTACACCTTTTATAGATTATAGTGTTTTCTGATTGGTTATTATTTGCATGTTGTATCATGACTTGACTGCTATACAGTGCATATTTTTTGACTGCTACCCTCTGTAGTGTATTCCAACTTAGGTTGGGTGTTTGTGTATTGTTAGTTGTAATGTGTTAGTTCAGTTTTTTTCACCTGAGGACGGGATCAGATTCCAGATCCCGAAACGTTGTGTATTGTTTTTTACATTCGTGATGGAAAATGTCCACAATAAACCTTTGAATAAAATAAATTATTTGCATGATTTATTAATGATCTAAACTTACGTTGATCATTGCATTGGATGAGATCCTAAACAGGGTTGCTCGCTCATTGATTGCCTTCATCTTGGTGGTAATGTCCTGGGCGTTGTCTAGACATTCCAGCTCGGAGAGAGAGCGTTGCAAAGTACCTCCGTGGCGGTTGATCAACTCATTGCACGTCTGCAAGTCCTCCAGTCTACTGTTCAGACACTTTATTGCACTTTCCATCTCCCTTTTGTGAGCATGATCAAACTCTACGTCTTCTTCATCCTCTGTAACAAGCAGAAAATCAGAAATCACAAAATCTTTGTTTAATTTTTTTACACAAAGTGTAGGCCTAACAGTGTAATATGTTTATTAGTTGTACATATAACATAGCTCAAAGTTAGGATCTCTACACGTTATAGATCTGGAAACCGTAAGCTGAATGAAAATGTCCTAAGCTAGGTATTATTCACTGTTGTGGTGTCTTGTGCTTTATTATATGCCGCTATTATATATTATATGTCCTTTATATGCCGCTCAACTAGGTTCAAGCTAAAGGGGAATGGGAAGTCCAATGGCAATAAGTTATTTTCCTTAATGTATATAAAAAAATTTGCTTCTCTTAAAATTAACAGGGATTTTTAGATAAACACCAAAATCAAATTGTTTTATTTGAATTTATAATATAAAACAAAATGAATTGTCATTAACAGTCTCTCTAGACACCTTGAACTCAGCAGCAGTAATAAAAGAGTTGCCGCCACACTAGGAAACAACACCCAGCTTAGGATACGGAGCCAACATTTTGGTTCAGCATATGCTATCCAGAACTTTAATGGGTCTTATGATGGGAGCCAGACCGGTGACCATGTTAAAGTCAACATGTCAAAAACCTCTAGTTTGAAGGCTAAAACTAAATGCCTTGGGACACTAGGCTCTTTAACAAAAGCTCGTGACCCAAAAATTCCCAAAGATGAGAAGGAATTTGTCACAATAAAGTACAGTCAGTGATTGGCTTAACTACAAGACCAACAATATACAGGGTGATTGATATAAGTGTGCCAGCTGTTTTATTCGAAAACTATAAGGGATATCAAAAAAAGCTAAATGGTAAGTGCCTTGGATTTTTCTTTTAAAAATTGTAGTCAAGTCGAAAAAAAAGTTTTAGCCGCCATTTTTCCAATATGGCCGCCAACTTTGATTTCTGTTATGAAACACCCTGTATTTTATGATGTATTCCAGTAGAAAATGTAATTTTAAGACGATTTTACTCTTGTGTTTTTTTTTTCATAAACCTAACCGTTTCAAAGATAATAATGGTTAAAGTTGTGAAATTTCAAATAGTTTTCGAATAGGACAGCTGGCATGCTTGCTTAGGCTTTTATTGAAACTCTTTCTCATGCCGAAATTTCAAAACTTTAACCATTATTATCTTTGAAACGGTTAGGTTTATGAAATAAAACAGAAGTGTAAAATCGTCTTAAAATTACATTTTCTACTGGAATACATCATAAAATACAGGGTGTTCCATGAGAAAAATCAAAGTTGGCGGCCATATTGGAAGAATGGCGGCTAAAATATTTTTTCGGCTAGACTACAATTTAAAAATAAAAAATCCAAGGCACTTACCATTAAACTTTTTTTTATATCTCTTATAGTTTTCGAATAAAACAGCTGGCACACTTATATCAATCACCCTGTATGTTAAAACTCTTGCTTACAGAACCTCCTACAAACTATAAAAATGTTTATAGTTTATAAAACTATTAACCCCAGGAAAGAACGCAATTATGACAAGTTTGACAGCAGCGGGATTTACCAAATAAATTTTACTATGTTGAAATATACATGGGACAAACAGAAAAATCATTTTAAACCCGTTTTAAAGAACGCCTCCTCAAGTCAAACTATGCAGAACATCTCATACAAAGTGGAAACTACAATTCCATTTCAGATAATTTGCAAATGAAAACCTATTTATGCCCACACTTGGTGATTGAGATTTATAAGGCAGTACAGTGTGAACCAGGTAATTTACTGAATGACAAAGTAAACACTCAATCAAATGCATTGTTCGACACTGCGATACGCCTGGAGAAGAGCAAAGTACACTACAGATAACGCTCTATCCTGCAGTCATCGCCAAAAATTTTTTTTTTGTTCCACCTTCACATCCTAGGCCGCTAGTTCTAGCCCGGTTAAACTAGCCGTCCTAGTGGGTTGCGGCATTATCACATAGATAAAATCCATTAGCGATTGGCGGGATTTGAACCCAGGACCTAGAGCACCGAAGCCCCGTGCTCTACCACTAGACCAGCTTGATACCCAGAATTAATCGCCTAGAATTATTTGTGTCCATACATGAGATGTGGCCACCACAACACTTCCTTACAACTTGTTCCAAACAATAGTTGTACTGGTTGTAGGATAACAATTTTAAATTTTTGCACAAACTTTTATTACATAAAAAATCTCACGTTTCGCCAGGCTGATCACTTTATAGCTTAAAATCTTCTGCAATCACAGAAATAGATTCCTAGAAATTAAAAACAAAAATTTATCAGGAAAAATATTTTAGATAATTCAACATCACAATTTAGGTTGGTTAATAAAATTACAAGACACGATTAATCTTAGCGTATTAATTCTTTGCTATTTAGATTGGATATATTTCTGACCAAAAAAATATCTACATACTTTTTAGTAAAAGTAGTCAAAATATTTCCAGATTAGGTAAATCTCAAGAGCAAATATTTTATACAAGTCCCCCCACTACCCAAAATTAAAACCACTACTGATTAGAAGTTTTAACACTAACCCTCATATATCCGACTCCTCGGAATATCCAATTTCATGTTACCATACCATTGTATTTGTGCTCTACCCTTGTAGGTGTAAGAAATGTCTAGATGAATCAGTTATATTTTCAAGTTTTTATTTTATAGGTGTACATCCTGGTATCTTTCAATTGTATTTTGAAAGAAAATAGTTTATTTGCTCGTAGAAAATTATTTTATTCCTCTTACTCCTACTTTTTGCTTCCTAATAACATTCCCATATTTACCCCTTGATTATTCAACTTTTTTCTGTTCTGGAAATAAGTAAATAAAATAGATTCTACTGTATTCCTACATCCGTCTCATCACACCTGGGGTTGTGGGAATCTGTGTAATATATTTACATTAATGAATGAGATTCTTCAATTTCATCACATTTTCAATTTCATCACATTTTAGTATGACTTACAAAATGAAATTATTAGGTTTGGTGCAATACGGCAGAAATGGAAAAATTGTAATATTAGTTAAATAATCAATTAAAATCCATGAGTGTAGCCCCTGAGCTGTTGGACATAATGTAAGACTGAATTACCTACGTAATCCCGTCACAGCTTAATAAATTTTTTTTGCTGTGACGGGATTACATAGTAATTTAGCCTTACATTAAATTATCAAGATATAAAAAAAATTAAGTAGTTTGTAAGACTTAAATCAAATGTACCGATAAAACTGCAACAATTCAAGTTTCAAACATAAACATTAGAATAGCCTAAAACCAAGCCTTTTGAATTCTTAACAAAAAGCCTACTATCGAAAACAATGACATAATATACAAATATTATTGACATTTTTGTTTACATCTCAAATTTGAATAAAAGTTTCAAACCATACAAACATGATTTGTTTAGCCTAGTCAATTGAAGTGTTTAAATAACTAAACACATACAGTGTTGTTTTAAAAAACAGTGTGTTTTTACAGTGTTGTTGTATTTTGGGAACCATTGAGTTGAAAGTTGCAAGCATCCCAAATCTATGTCTTGCATACACGTTTACAGGCTGAGCACTAAATTAAGAAACAAATTCTTTGACAAGTTAGTTAAAGGAATAAAAAAAAAAAAAACAATAGAAGGTAAATTATTTAAAAAAAAAATTAAAAAATATCTTGTTATTTCCAAAGTATAAGCTTTAGCAAAGTAATTTTTTAGAAATTAATAACAATTTCAAAAATCTTGTTTGTGTAGTGATAAAATCATCTTAAACTGTTTTAGTACAAATTATGAAACAACTAACATTTCAACATATTAAGCGCATACTACAGTTGTTTAGGATTGTTAGTAAATTAGTAAATATCTTGATAAAGCATAACAGGATCAGAGTTCATTAAAAAAATAACTGTAAATATTTTGTAAAAATATAATGTGTTCTATGTTTGGTATTAACTTTAACTGTGTTTAACAAATCGTTCTACGAGGATTGACCTGACGATGTGACCGTCGTCACGAAACCAAAGGATATTGAACGGGTAACATTATTCAATAACATAAAAGGATGTTTAATGATTTTAAAAATATAAATGTACTGGCAGAAATGCTTTACTTTCATGAAATGTTTAATTCCATTTTTTTTTTTTTTTAAATGTAATACCACCACAGAAAAAGTTTAAACAATATTTTTAACCATAAAATCAAAGCATTTGTTAGTAAATTAAATAGTAATTTAAAAATTGCCAACCTTCAAATTCATCAAAGTCCTCAGGCAAGCTGAATAGTAAATCTAAAACTGAAGGAACTTCATCATCGTCTACCATCATATAACAATAAATGATGAAGACAGAGACAAAGTTCAAAAGTTTAGTGAAGCAAATGGTGAAGAAACTCATGTTGTCCGTGTAAGAACACTCGGGGCAGAACTGTACTGAGCGGGAAACAGCAACTCAACGCGACTAAACGTGCAATGAGCGGGAGGGTAACAGCGACTAAACGTGCAATGTACCTTTCCTTGGCATAAGGAACGATAACTAGTATCTAAAATTAAATATTGAGTGGCACTGTTGTTATTGCACCTAGTATTAGAGTTATGACCAATGGCGGCAGCGCTGTAATGGGTTTGGCAAAATAGGTAAGGTTTCACGTTTCGCAAACTTCCCCACATCAAGAATAGTCTTTAGTACTTAGTTAATCTCATGGTTTTGAGAATGGTGTTCATTGCATTCCTAAACCTATTGGATTCAGTTTACTGCGTTATTAAATGTCCGAAAGTAAACGTACTTAATGTTGCTTACTCTTGGTTTATATGTGATTTATGTGTCCGGGAAAATAAATCAAGGTTTGAATATTGCGGACACAGAAATAGCAGCTCTAATGTGAATATGAATTTATGATAATGCAATTAGTAATAAGTTTTTAGAAAAAAAAACTTTGATTTAAAGGTATATTAAGAGTTAATTATGTAATTGAATATTTATTTATTGTATGGCTTGTTGCCTGAGATAATTCAAGTTGTAAAAT